TGGCGTACTCCAGGAGCGGTCTGACGTAGGCCCCATAGAGTATTTGGAAGTCCATGCGAGTAATACGGGAGAAGGTACGTCGGATCATCCGTAAAATGTCGGATGTTTCTGGTCCGACTTCTCATAGTGCAGTAAGAAGGACAAGTCTGAGGAGACCCAGATGCCCAAATCCTTTTGGGCATCTATCCTCATGACGTTTTCTGGTCCTTTCTCACCGTGCATAACAAAGGCATTCACTGAGTCTCCTCCAAACGATATATAGACGCACTTTTCGTCATTCAGAGGAAGGTGCCAATTCATCGACCACTTCTTGGCAGCGTCTACATCCATTTGGAGGGCACTGGCATTTGAACCTCAGGATTTCAAGTCGTCCGCAAAAAGTAGACATGGACTCGCAAGAACATCTGGGAGGTCGTGGACAGATCGGAAACAGGAGTGATCCCAGGACGCAGCCTTGAGGAGCTCCAATGGATACCGGCGTTGGAGAAGAGTTGGTCGAGCCTATTCTCACTCGGAATGATCTGTCTGATAGGAACGCCTTGATCCAGCGGAGGATTTTCCCTTGAATTCCGTAAGACTCGAGTTTGTGGAGCAGCGGGACGTGTGGGACCCTATCAAATGGTCTTGAGAAGTCGAAAAATATGGCATCCGATATGAGTCCTTCGTCCTTGGCTTGGGTTAAGCTGTCCATAAACACGAGTATGTTTGTCACGCAAGAGCGGTTAGGGAGCGGAGGTCTGGCCCTAACGAGGGACTATAAAGCTAAAAGAGGACAACTTTGGACGGGTGGACGGTCAGAATACAAACAACCGTTCCGGAACGGGTTTCCGGAGACCGTCAGTCCCCAATGACGGAATATCAAATCAGTCGGATGTGTCAGGTGCTTGCTATGGACCAAATCAAGGGACGCTGTGATTGGTCAGATTGCCAGCCAATCTGGATCGAGCATCTTCAGCTTGACGCTCCACACCACGAAGATTCCAACACGACCCTGTGGAACATCCTATGATGACCTATAAATACGGTTCTAAGTTCCTTTCTTTGACTCCATTAGGGGCTGTCTGAAGCTACCCTACCTTTCGACATACCATAGTGGGCGGTGCAGGAAGCCAAGAACCGACAGTTGCAGAACCGTTAAACAAGATACAACAGTCTGCGGCAACCCGTACCCGTCTTCCTCCAGAAATGTTTCTGCCAGCTAACTTACTGAATTCAACTTCGATGCTGAATCTAGAGGAACCTTCGAAAGTTAGCTCAAGAAATATGAGGACATGCTTCTGGTGGTACGTTCGAAATCGGTTTCGTTTTCCCTCGTGCAAATTTGTGAAGGAATTTTTTCGTTTTTCAATCTATTCACAGAGTACACATGAGTAATTGTTGAATTTTAATAATCTAACAAAACATCTGAGAGATAACCCTTGATATTTTGCGCACACTTTCTGTCCTAAACATGACATCAGTTTATGCCGATTGCCCTCTGCAGTCATTGATAGACCACAACAGACGTAGACGAAATGGCTGCCCGTCGAACGTCAAACGCAGTATGCAATGCCACATCTGCAAGGCCTGGCGGCACTTCAAATGCACGGGTTTACAGGACGACCAGATGAGCCGACTAGCTAACTCACCCGTTTGTCTGCGCCAGTTGCGTCTACGTTAAGGGTGCAATGCATACCACAGCCAAGAGAAAAGCCCCCAAAAACGGTACCCAATCCCTACTGCAAATTCAGAAAGACCGATGTCAGTGTTCCGCTTTGATCGGGATGCTCGACGCGAAATTGGAGCGTCTTTTAAAGGCACTGGAGGATTCGGACACTAAAAATGCAGCGGCTTGGACGAAAGTTGACAAGGAACGTTCTTTGCTGAACGACTACCTCGCGATATCCGTACCGTACCCTCTGGCTGCGAAGAAAGTAATACAACTCTCTGACGCGGATATTAAGACCGCCACAGCGTCTTTCTTAGACAGGTGCCTAAGGGAAAGCACATTGAGAATCTGGGGGTCATTCTCCGGAAAAATCACGCCAGAGAGGCTGGCACAATCAATCCCTGGGAATGTCCTCACCAAGCCTGACCGATTGCCCCACGCAGAATGGTTACCCAGAAGGGAAGCTAGCGCACTCTTGGACTTCTCTTCACTCTTTCTCCATCTGACGTACAGAAAATCTTGGAGCCGGCTGGCAGCATTCAGAAGGCCAACCAAATGATCAGGCGCCTATCTGAGAATCTCCCTCTAAATGCGCGAAAGCTTGGTCACAGCATATCAGGGATAGAGGCCCAAAACGGGCTTCCGCTGGGCACCTATTCAGCCTACCCTAAACTCATGACCAATCCGATTGTGATCATATCACGTTGCGCTCCCGAAAGCAGGCCGACGAAACCAGCTGCAGTTTCCATTCGACCACCACGGGCCTCTCGCCCACCAAAGGCAGTGATGCCCTGGAGGAGGCAAAACTCATATCCAAGCAGCGCCCAAAGTACGTGGAGCTATCGACGCTTATCTCCGTAACGGACATCACAGCTGCAGCCATGCCCTCCTCAACAAAGTCATAGCCTCTGAACTGTACTGAGTCAGATGTGCGAGGACAAACCGCGAAGCCAAACTTCAGCACCAATCCGTCAAAAGCGGCCTCTCTGCTTGTGGACACAGCCGCCGCCCAGGACCCCGACAACCTAAGCCATAAGCATGACTACGGCCATTCGGAAAATCTCTCGTACATCCAATTGGTCATGCTGATCGCCGGCAGATCGATGGTCCACACAAACACGAAAGGAGAGCGACTGCAGCCAAACAAGTCACATGAAATTCATCAGATTAGAAGGCTGCTGGTTTGCTTCAAGGTGAAATCCCCCGCGAAAACGAGCCTCTTGAGAGTGCCGCCAAAATCATTACTTCTTGGTGCCGCCACCCAGCGCCCAGGGCCACACAGAGACACTTTCCCGGCCAAACCGCGCCAAAACACCCTAGAATCCAGGAAGGCGAAAGCTTGCCGCAACTCTTCGATCAACAGCAAATCTGGTCGCCAAATTAAGGGTGCTGAAAGAGCTACAAACAGCAACGGCCGAAATTTTCGCCCACGCGGGAGAAGACCTCGTCCCCCAAAGCCAAAAGGCCCGAGCAAACCGGGCTCCCACGGAACGAGAAAACCTCGCAAGCGAAAAGCACCCCCAGAAACCACAATGGCCGGAAGCAAACATCGCCCCAGAGGCTCCCTTGGAGCCTTGGACTCAGACTCAAACCTGGTGCACAACTATTAAGTCTGCCAACCACCCTGGTCACTCAAATTTCGGCTCCTCACCCTCGGAGGCAGCAGAGGCAGTGTTGAAATGCTTGTACACAAACTGCCTCAGCCTTTTCAACAAACTCGGCGATGTTAAACAGTCAGCTTGTCTTGAAAAACCGTCCATAGTCGCACTCACAGAGACCTGGCTCACACCAGATGTCTCTGACGCAGAGATCTCGATAGACGGTTACTTTATTTTTCGAGCTGACTCAAAACGACGGAGGGCTGGTGGGGTTGCACTGTACTTACATGCGGCCCTACCAATCCCGATTTTCCTCTCTGACACCACCCCTGCACCCTTCTGCGATGCACTGTGGGTCCAAGTCCCGCTGCGCGGGTCCGATTCTCTTCTTTTCGGCGTGGTCTACCGTAGCCCTTCGAGTCTCCCTGAAGATGACCAATTCCTCACACAAACGCTTGAGCAACTCTCCTCTAACTACCACTTCACTCATCTCCTGCTGGTAGGTGACTTCGACGCCCCAAACGTCTCCTGCATTGAGCTCCAGCTAGTCGAACCAGGCGGATCTTTTGCAGCGGCGCTGTTAGAAGTCGTTCAACAGAGCGCTTGGACCCAACATGTCGCTGCACCCACCAGATACTGTGCAGGCCAACTACCATCCCTCCTGGATTTGGTCATCACCAATGAAAGAGACTTCGTTGATCAGGTAACAATGAGCACTCCCCTGGGACATGGCGCCCACTGTCTGCTGACCTTTGATTTCATCTGCTATTGGGCCAGAAATCCCGAACCTCAAACAAGGTTTCGAGACTTCTGCCGTGCAGACTTCTCAGGAATGCGCATCTCTCTTGAACAATTCACAGCGTGTAATGACCTTCCAGTTTAACGCACTATTAGGCACTTATTTATGCGAATCTTCGCGCTGGAGAACATACTGCCCCACGCTGAGAACATAAAGAGCGGTGCTACCCTCTTTCTTCACTTGTGTCTTTCAGGTGAACCACAGCCACTGACCGACAATAATATAATCAACCAGGCAACTTGGTCGAAAGCCTCGATCCTGTGTATCAATCCGGAATCCGTTGGTCCGTGTATCCGTGACGTAGCTCAGTGCAATTTCGACTGTTGCTTTGGAAACTGGGGATTGCTGGACATGGTCGGCCACGAATTTCAAACCTCCTCAAACTTCCTTGTGACCTTGGTTTCGCGGATGTTATCAAGTTCCTGACCCATATATTCGGTGAGTGAGGTTTTTCGTTCAATATTCGTTTTCAGTGCCTCAAAATCACCAAGATTGATGGTGAATATTTCATCCCTTATACCGGTGTGGCCAACAGCATGGTGACCGGAAATGATTCCAGTGTCTCATCTTCGTGGCTGGTTTTCAATCGTCACTTGATGCTACTAAATAAAGTTGAACAAAATCCGGCGTTTAAGCTTCAGGAATTCGCCACCGAATGCCAACGTCCAAGCAATTTCAAACCTGACGCTGCAACGATCAGGCATTCCAAATTCTTTGGAGAGAATGGTGGTAGCTCAGGAAGCGTAGATGTCTTGTTCGCTAAACCGGAAGATTTGATTTAAAATGTTTTATCACCAATCTAGGTGACACCGTCGGTGCGTTATTAAGGTGCGTAGCAGTGCGTAGAGATGGGTTGATTGCTCGCAAACACAGCTCAAACAGAAGGACGTGACTAGGGGCCACGAGTGCTACACTTAGGATGAGATCACTCGGTCAACGTAAATTCATCATCGCGCGGATCGATGACACACTAGTTACCCTCCAGCTCGAATCGAGTTCTTACTGCACTCCGATTTCAAAACGAATCTGGTACGTGATTGGAATGCCACCAGCGGAACACACAAATTGCACCGTTCAGTAAGCGTCCGATCGAAATCTCAAACTTACCATAAAGGCGAACTGTTCCGTTACGTTCAAGGGTATTCAACACAGTGGCACTTGCTTTTGAAGTATACTGGCCTTGACCTCTTAGGCCTTGTTTGGATTGTTGGGCTCAAAGAAAACATTCTACACTAGATTAAGCCGTTTCATCAGGCAGCTTATTCTGAGTGGAAGTAGGCTGG